AGAGCCCCTTTATGTGCATGCCCTTAGGTCCATTTTCACCTAGTTTAAATCAATTGACTTCAGCAAACTGAGCTGCACTGACTGGAAAGTGCAGGTGCAAAGTGGCTTAAGTGTGAGCCCATGGAGGAGGAGGGGGTTGCACTGATAAGGCTGAAATTACTGTAAACTTGGTGTCAATTTGGAGTGTGGGCAAGGTCCAGCTGGAGTGGTGCATGGTCTTCCTTTTCCAGGAGAAAGGAAGGGGTGAAGCAGTCCTGGTTTAGCAGAGCAGTGGAGTGCCATGCTGGGGCAGACGAGCCCCTTTCCCAGTGTCCCACTGTGGTTAGAAGCAGGTGTCTAAAGAACAGTATGACAGAGCAAGAGTGAATGACCCTTCTCCCAGCCACTGAATTACTTGACCGAGACATGGCTCCTGCATGCTCAGTGACTCTCAGTAGCTTTCCCTTCTGCAAGCTTAGTCAGTTTCCCTGGAAGTTCTGTAGACTTTTAGCCTCCGTGCTACTTCCAACAGCAAATACCAGTTTCATCGCTCAAGCTGTGTGCATCACACAACTGCTTATTTATTTGGTAGTCAGCAGCTCTGCGTGATGGCCCATAGTGCTTCTCCTGGAAGAGGCAGGAAGCAGCACTGTCCCCATGCTGCCTGCAGCTCTGCAGACCCCTGCCATCCCCCTCACTCATCTCCTTTCAAGGCTGAAGAGTTCAGCCTGCTCAGTATTTCCTTGGATGGAGGCTGTTCCTTGCTGCTCCTTATTGCCCTTTGCTGAACACTTCCAATTCAGCTGTATCTTTTTTGAGCTGGGAAGGGACCAAAACTGCAGCTCATATACAAGGTGTGGGTAATCCAGGGACTCAGGCAATGACAGAACAGTGATCTCTATTTTAGTATCCTCTCTTTTCCTAGTAATACCTAGCATGTGATTTTCTTTTTTTCTTTCTTTCTTTCTTTTTCTTTCTGACAGCTCTGACTTTTCCATGGGGCCATGTTTCAAGTTTTGCTGCTCAGCAGTGACGGACTTGGACCCTGTTATTTTGTCTGTGAAGTCAGGGCTGATTTTCCCCATGTGCTCCACTTTACATCAGTCCACCTAGGACTTTACCTGCACTTCAGTCCTTCTCACTCAGTCTCTTAAGGTCCCTCTGAAGTCCTTCAAGGCAACCCCATCTTTGTTACCCAAATAACTTTACATGGACAGCCATATTGGTCTCTTACAGCTCACCCGCTTCTCACAGGTTATTTGATCAATAGTCTCCTGTGACTTCTTCTCACTGCCGGAATTGACCATTTATTGCTGACTTCTGCTGCCTATCCTAACTATCTCTGAAATGATCTTCCCTTTTATGTAGTGACTCCTTAGGATCCTTAAAAACCTTTAGTGAGGGATCTTCTCAGAAGCCTTTTAGAAAACCAGTAAGACGGTGTCTCCTGGCTCATCTTGTTCCAGCTGCTTAGTGACCTTCAAAGAGTTCCAGGACGCTGTGGAGGCAGGACTCCCCTTTGCAAAAGCCATATTTGTTCTTCCTATATTTACCCAAGTGTCCACTAACAAAGTTTATCCTACTTTGCTGGCATCAGGGTTGAAGGATATCCTCCCCTCAGAATCCTTCCCCAAAAATGGTCTCCTGTTTGTGCCCCCTCTGCCACCCACTCCCCAGGTGGGCTTGGCTATGAGGTTATGCCATGTTTAGCAGATTGGTGTGGGTGCGGTGTTGTGTTTCCATCTAACAGCCCTGTTCCCTAAGTTTGGAGGAGTCCAAGGCCATAATCTGCACATGCCCCTGTTTGCTGGTAGACTGTGACTGCTCTGGTGCAACTCACCATTGCAACCTGCACTGTAGGTTGCATCTGTGCCTATGAATAGGGCAAGTCAGAAACTGTTCTGCTTGGAGATAACCCTTCTGAATGCCTGACACATGAGCCTCTGACAGATGTCTTCTTTTGGGCCCAACTGTGCCAGAAGAGTGCCTGTTCTTGCTCTGGAGATGGCCAGCCAACGAATGATTTCCTTGGAAGAACCGGAGCGGCTTTCACACATGCTGATCTGGTGGGAGGTCAGTGAGGCTGAATATTCCTCCCTGACACAGCTGTATCCAGGAAGAAAGCTTGCCTACATCATCGCAGAGACCTTGGAAAAGTTGGAGGCTCTTTCGCACACCACTTGATTCATCTCCAGGATCAGATCTGTACCTAGATGTGTCTTCCGCCTCAACGATACCTGTGAGATATTCACTTTGGTGAGCATCCCAGTGAAGAGGTTGTTTTGCAAAGCATCCTGCCCTTCAATAGCCTTCAGATCTGGGAATTTGCTCTGAAAGATAAAAGAACTGTTTGTTTTTCCTGGTATGTAGGTGGAATTAGGGAATGAGCAAGGCTTTGATTTGAAAGCATGGAACTAGGCTTGTTTGGAGCTAGCTGTTGCTGCAGAGCACTAGGCAAGGCACTGGATTTAGACTGGAGATCTAGGGAAGAACGTGTCCTAGCAGCTTTCCCTGGACACCAAATGTTCATCCTTTCACTTCTCTATGTCTCTGAAAATTTAGTTCATGTCCTTATGTCAGTGGTGCCTGGAAAACAGAATCTCTGAGAAGTGAGGATAAGCTTTTAAACCATGGGCTGACATTTCCCAGGTAAGAGTGTGCTTCAACTGGGACTGGCAGGTTCCTGATGCACAGCCTAGTGAGACAGAGTCTGGGAAGTGAGACCTCTTCCACTTCCAACAACATGTGCTCGGAAGAGCTCCCTCGGACTCAGTCTGAGTCTTCCCAGTGAGCTGGGAGGATTTCAGGTACAAAGTGTGCCATAGGGAGTCACCTTGGCAGTTTCTGTGGTTTTGTGATCATGCTTTCCCATGTCTTAAATAACGACATTACTCTCTGTGGGGAAAACTCATCCTTTGAGAAAATGGAAATTGGCCAACTTCTAGCAGGTGATTTAGGATTTGCAAAGCATAAACTCCCGGCTCCCTCTGCACTCGAATCAGGATGGTGTTAATTAGACAGCTCAAGGAGACAAACACCACAGTGAAGCCGACAGCAGAGGAAGGGCTGGCAGTGCGGGGAACATGCTGCCCTAACAGCTTGGCAGCCCAGGAGATCTGCAGGGGCAGATGCAGCACAAGTTAAAATGGGGGTATTGGTGGTGACCATGGGAATATGTGACATGCTGGTGGGCATTTATGGGGAGGAGAGGCACAAGCATCACTTGGAACCTCTTTGCATACATCCACAGCATTTCTATCATCATAGAAGTGTCAGGTCAGGTCAGCCAAAGGACGCTGGGCCGGGGACACACTCTTCTGTGCTGCATGTGGGAACGGTCCCTAGGAAAGCATGCTTGTGCTCAGCCACATTTCCACACTTCTGGGCAGGAGGAATGGAGCATCAACTCGGCTGCAAGACCAGTGCCATCAGTGGTTTATCTAATGGCAGCCAGCCATGCCTCGCATGGCTGAAGGGCAGCGAGAACGGTGCTGGCAGCAACAGGGCCAACGGGCGTTGGTGGAGGGCTGCCTCCATCCTGAGCTGCCAGTTCGCGTGGTGCCCATGTGCTGCAGGGCCTGGGCTATGCTGGGGGTGAGAGGGTCATTGCAACAGGGCTGGGGACATCCTCTGGTCTTCCTCAGGCTTGAGGGTGAGACCTTGCTCATTAGGTATAAAGCAGCATTTGTCTGTTGAAGGTTTGCAACCCCAGGGATGAATTACTGGCTGCTGTACCTGCCTCTTGTCCACACGCTCTGTGCATGTGTTATGCCAGGCCTGGACAGGTGGAGATGGCCAGAAAGGGATGATGTGTGATGCAAGAACCAAATTCCACCAGAGCTGTGACCTTCCTGCAACCCCCCTCTTGCTGCATAAGAGGCAAAAATCTCTGGCTGAGCACTCACAAGCTGTGGTGTGGCCTCTCAGAAGGGCAGCTGCGCACTGCAAAAGCCCATCTGCTGTGCTGAGCAAGAGGGTTAAAACCTATTTCAGGCGGTACTGAACCAAATTTGCCTCCTCCATGTTTGTACTGCCCTGTCTCCCCATTTCTGCTATACCATGCCCTTCCTCTTTTCTGCAGCACTGCCAGTTCAGGGCCACACAATAAGGGTATCTGAACTTCTGGGACCCTGAACCAGGTGATTCTGGGAGTCTCAGCCCTGCTCCCTGGGCTCCCCCAAGGCTCAGAGGACCCAAGCACCACCATTTGACATGTATGAGCTTCTTCTAACCATAAAGAAGAGGTAAGGATTCAGACCAACTACTTCACAGACTACCAGTTTCCAGGCTCTTCTAATGGCACCTCCATCACATCCCTCAGTTTGCAGAGCCATGTTAGCCAAGACTTTAGCAGCTCTGAAACCAGAGTGAGGGATGTCGGCTGGCACTTTTTCATATGACTTCCCTGTATTTCAAAGCATCTCTCTGCATGTTCCAAAGCAGGGGGTGGCAGAGCAAACCTCCTCCCATCAGCAAAGACTGAAAATGATGTTTAACCTGTGAGAAACTTTATATAGGCAGAGGGTCCTAGTGGAGACAAGTTGGGAGGGATTTGGCTTTAAAACAGGCTGCCCTGACGGAAAGAGCTGGCATTCACCTTGCCAGAAGGGACCCTGCTCGTAAAGGTGGTGAGTCAGGGAGAGCGCGTGTAGGATAAGACGGAGGATCGGAGGATTTCGTGGCACTCCAAGAGAGCGGGGCTTCAAGCCCCAAACTCACCAGCACACATGGACAGCGCGGCACAGCACCAGGGCTGCTCTGAAATGAGGGTGCCATATACAGCATGCCTTTGTATTACACCCATCAGACTTTATACGTTGCTTCAACTTTCTGAATCCCTTAAATCACAGGCTCTCAAGCCATAAAACAACCATAGAAGAGGAAACAAAGCGTTTTTTTTTTTTTTTTCCCTTTCATGAAGGAAAAAACAAAACTGGGATTGCACTGGTTTAAGCCAGCCAAAAATCCCAACAGGCTAGCACTCACTTGGGATGCTCATCCTCATGCCAGCTCCATGCCTGGGGAACAGATCTCCCACTTACTCACCCTGTAGGGGTGAGTACTAGGCTATGCAGTTGCTTCAAGGGGGCAAATGGCTGTTTGGTAGGGTTTAAGCCTAGCTGGGGGTCCTGCGGTTGAGAAGTGCAAGGAAAGCAGGACAACCCAGCACGGCAAGCCCAGCTCCCCTGGCCCTGCCACCTATACCCCGTGAGGGGCCTTTGATGTGTGTTGCAGGGCCCCATTCACCGTAAGGCCAAGGGATGAGGTGGCTGAGGCATGGCAGGGAGATACTGGCTGACACTGTCAAAGAAAACAGTGGGAGAGCAGTGGATTAGGGCAGATGGGAAGGAAAAACCCTTCCGTCCACACACTCACAGACCTGGCACAAGGGCCAGCATGGCAGGGTGGGCTGTGGATGCCAAGGAGTCAGTACACCAGGCTCATCTCTGCTGAAAGATGCCATCCAAATGCAAAGTGGGGCTGTGCAGCAGAGCTGGGGAATGTGAAAAGGGGGAGTTTACAGGTGCTCAGTGAAGAGCACCTGTGGCAAAGTCCTCCAGGTAAGGACCACCTGGGAGGCAACACAAGGAAGAAGCTGTGAAGCTGTGGGGCTCCCTTGGGAGCCTCTGTACAGGACATACACATGGCTGGGTTTTAGGAGAGTGGGGCAGGTGAGCGCACAGCACCCTATTCCCTCAGAAAACAAATTTTCCAAGTGGGATCTTCAGGCAAAATTTGTCAAAGGAGACAGTGGATGATGAGCTGATCGTTCTTCCTGGATAGGGGCCAAAGGTAAAGGCAAACCTTCTCGCCCTGTCAGAGAGATACGCCAGGAAGACAGTGTCTTTTGCAAGGTCTGGATATGGACAAGACATCCCTAGAAAGTCCTTGGTGTTGGCACCAAGGCATTGCGCAGCATCTTTGGGGGCTGGGAGGTGGGAGCCTCTCGGTGGGAGAGGAGATGGGAGAGGAGGTCTAGGACTGATGCATGGACACACAGGGGTGTAGTGATGTGAGCACTTCCTCCAGGAAGGGTGCAGGGTCACGTGCCAACATAAGTGTAACCCAGAGAAGGGTCAAGTCCCCCTTGAGGGGTGAGCCTGCTGTGGGGCTAGGCAGCAAGGGGGATGGAGGGAATGGGGGCAGGAGGTGCGTGCAGGAGGACGCAGAGGCAGTGAAACAGCTCTAGGCGCTAATCATCTTTGTCCTTGGCCCCATGCTTCAGGATGCGGGTGAACTCCACGTAGTTGAAGCTGCCCTTCTTGTCGATGGGAGCCTCCCGGTACATCTCATCCACTTCCTCATCTGTGAACCTGTCTCCCATGGTGGTCAGCAGCTCACGCAGATGGTCCTCATGAATGAAGCCTGCGGGGATGGCAGAGGAGGTGGAGTTTATGCAGGGCATGGGAGTGCAGGAGAGCAGTGGCTGGGTCAGATGTGGTGGGAGGGCTGGGCAGAGGGCTGAGCGGCAGGGCCTTCTTACCCCTCCTGCATGCTCCCTGCACCCATACCCCGCTATTCCACTCCCCTAAACTCTGCGCACGCTGCCCTGGCACAGGGCCTTCATCACACAGATGTGTGAGGTGAGGGGGGAGCAGAGAGAGCCAGCAACCTGCTTGGGAGCTGCTGTGCTTGTGGACTCTTCCCAAGGGTTTGCCTGGTGGCACACCCTGGCTGAGCCCCCAGCTCTTGTCCTGGCTGAGCCCCCAGCTCTTGTCCTGGCTGGCCCAGCCACCCATCCATGTGAAAGATGATCCCCAGGTAGGCACTACTGCCCAGCACAGAGCTGGGAAGGCAGTGCCTGTACCTGTTGCATCCTCATCAAAGCAGGCAAAGGCGTTGCGGATGACATCTTCTGGGTCGGTGCCATTCAGCTTCTCCCCGAACATGGTGAGGAACATGGTGAAGTTGATGGGCCCTGGCGCCTCACTCATCATGCCCTCCAGGTACTCATCAGTGGGGTTCTTCCCTGCCAGACACAACCAGCAGGTGTGGGTGCTTGGCCCTCATTCCCCTCCCTGGGAGCACCCACCCTGCCAGCCAGGCCCCAAGACCCATTGGGACAGCAGCCAGCCTCATGCCTGTGCTCTCAGGAAGAAATTGAGCAATGGGAGACCCTTATGAATCCTTCCATTTTGAGATATAACCTGCCTGAACTGTGTTTAAACTGACCGCATCCACCTCAGGGCACACTCAGGATATGCCTGATGGTCCCTAAATGTTTCCTCCTCTATCCATCTCACTTTAGTTTGGGCTGAGAGAACAAGCAAAGTGATCCTCTCCCCACAAATACCTGCAGTTCTGTTTTCAACACTGCACTGGGCAGAAGCCCAGGAAAAGCAACAGGGCCAACGTTCCCAAGGTACTTAAACCCAGCTCCCCAAAAGATAAATCCCATTGAATTCTGCAGCCACCAGGTTTCAGTGCCCTCCTGTCCCCTGTTAGGTGGGAATGAAGAGTAGTACCTGCCAACAGGAATTTTAAATTAATTTTAATGGAGGCCTGTTCACCCACCCTAGAAACAAGGAAATAGGGTTTCCCCAGGGCCCAGCCCTACCACCTCTCCCCATGGCCTGTCCTGTGGCTGCCCTGGCCCCTCATCACACTACTCTGTGCTGTGCTGGAGGCAAATGGGAATGCCCAGGCCCTCTCTTCTCCGAGAGCTTTAGTTTATGGGGAGGAGATTCCCTCCCAGCTGGACAGGGCCTTCAGAACAGGTTTGGTTGCCGGGTCAATAATTGACAGACCTCCCAAAGAGCCACAGAGGTAGCACGGGGAACAAGAGAGGGAAAAGTGAGCCATGGCCTGCAGCTAAGAAGAAAGGGCTCTAGGTGGGGAGCAAGGCCAGAGATGCAAGTCTCAACAGGCCGAGGTATCGGGCTTTTCACCTATCCACAGAGAGCCTCTGTGCTGGGTGACCTGTCGAACAAGACTGGGCAGAGCTAGCCAAGAATGCCATTTGGAAATGTGTACTTTCCCAAAGCTTCTGCCTGGATCTGTGGGCTCTGTGTCCAGAGTTACCCCAATTCTCACAGGGACCCATCTGACAACACTGGTCTGCTGCAGCTCCTGTCAGCACTGACAGGTCCCAGTTGGACCCTGTGCCCTCCTTGAAGTCCCATTACAGATGAAGATGAAAAGACTTGGGACAGCAGAGCTGGGCAGAAGCCTCTGCACACCAGTAAGACCCCTGCTGTGCAGGTATGCTGTTGCAGAGGGGACGTTGCTATGTGGACTGGCTCTGGCAGAATGGCTTGCTAAGGGCTGGCACAGGCTGTGGGGGCTGACGAGGATGCTGATCCCTGCTACCCTCCTGCCACTCTACCAGGGTATCTGCTGCTGGTAGCTGATGTCCCCTCCACTTAGCCAACAGACCAGGCTGCTGCCCTTAGATGTCCCCACAAATATGCTTTCGAAGGTCAACCAGTGCCAGCAGAGATGGTTCCCCAGTCTTCACAGCCTGCATCACACTGGCCCAAAGCAGGAGGTCTTTGCATCAATACAATCCTACCAGAGTAGGTTTTCAATGCAGGCACACTGCAGGGGTGTGACAGTGACTCCCTGTCGTGCAAGGCACTATTGCACCCAGGCAGCTCTCTCCCCTTGCAGAAGAGGCATAAGGACAGAGTTCTTTAATACAGAGGGGTTGACCGATGCACAGAGGAACAGGGGAAAGGTTTCCTCACCTAGAGAAGCCAGCATGTCATGCAGATCCTCCTTGTCAATGAATCCATCGCGGTTCTGGTCGATCATGTTGAAGGCTTCCTTGAACTCCTGGATCTGTGACTGGTCAAACATAGCAAAGACATTGGAGGTGGCGCGCTGAGGGCGCTTCTTGGTGGTCTTGGCTTTGGCACGTTTGCTGGACATCTTGGCGGCTGGTGCGGTACCTATGAGCAGGGCAGGGAAAGCAGGCAGGAGGGTTAGGAGCGGGGGAAGGCAGAGCCCAGGAGACTGGAGCAGGGCACAAGGTGGACAAAGGCAGGGCAAGGAGTCAAGACCCCTGGATTCCCTTTCTGGATGTGCAAACAGCCACTTACCAGTCTCATGCCTCAGTTTCCCTGGCTGACAAACAGTTTGGCGTTAGTAAGGTAATTTGGTCACAATGAAAGCATGGGGATAGGTGAGGCTAAGGCTAGGAAGTCACATATTCCTTCAATACGCCCACAAGACTGCTGGAAAGACATCGCTGCTCCCATGGGATTTGTTCCCTTTGAAGAAAATTCAAAGGACTCTGAAGCCCCAGCTCCACCTCTCAGAGCCTCCTACTCTTTATGGCTATGAGGGGGCACCTTGAGACAGCTGATACATGGCTCCTGTGGAGGAACCTGCAGCTCACACTTGAACAGTGTCCCAGCAATGGCAAGACCCCTCATGGTAGACAGGCGCCAAGGCTGTCCCAAGGTGCCCTGGGCAGACGGGGCTCCAGGGCTGGCCCTGTTTGCTCTGAGCGTGGTTAGTGAAAGTGCTTTCTCACTGGGTATTTCTTGCTGGTGCCCTGCAGATGCTGGGAGAGTGGCAGGACCCTACCTAGTGCCAGGACCTGCACTGGTGTTTCCTTTGCTGACTTGTAGCATCAGCTCCTACTGCAGCAAAAGCCGGAGGAGGGGGCGGTGAGGAGAGCACCCTGTGTGCACCAGCAGCCCCCATACCTGCTTTGCTGGCCTTTCCCTTTGCAGCCCATGAGCAAAGAGAGGCACACCAAGCACGGCACCGCATGGTTCCCTCACCAGGATCAGTCTCCTGGAAGGGATGAGATGCCACCTTGGCTTTTTGGGCACAAGAATTTACCCCTGCTTTGCATGTGCAAGGGGGCCAGATTCCACCTCTGCTGACACAGCATGGAGTTTGTGCAACTTGCCCGCGTGTGTGTCTGAAAGCAGAACTGCCCAAGCCTTTTCCAGAAGATCATCTCTGGGAGATGGGCCCTGAGGGGTAAGGAGGCACCGCTGACTGAGGGCAACAGCACAAGGCTCAGCCCCTGCGCCAAGAAGCAACCCCTCTTCATCCCCTCATGATGCGCATCCCTCCATCTTGCTGCATGCAAGCAAGACCCAGGCTCTCCCTCCAGACGCCCAGGCTCCACTGTCAGCTCTCCCCTGCCTGCAGCAGTTATCTGCTTTCCTCACCCTGCTGGCACACACAAAGGGAGACTCACCAGCAGCTTCTTCCCAGCACCCAGCAGGAAGAGGGTTATCTGCTCCGGGCACATTCCTCACATACCACTGCCTTCCCTTCCCCCTCTTTGTTTAGGCAGCCGGAGGGAGCTGGAGGCTCCCAGCTCTCCATCCCTCCCACCACCACTGCTTTTCTAGCTCCCTGCACAGCGAGTTAGACCAATGGCGGCTCATCCGGAAAGCCAGTGTGCACCCTACCAGGGCCAAAGCTCTCCCCCTGGGATCTTATCCCCGGAGCCGGTGTTGGCCCTGCAATCAGTGCGCTCCATGCAGGAAGAGAGCGCAGGAAGAGCCTCCAAAAAAGTGGGCAGGGGGAGGGAAAGAAGGGCTGGTAACCCCTGGAAAAACTCCATAGCCAGGCTGCTCTTTGGGCTTGGGCCAGGTCACTGGGCAGCGCTTTTATACCAATTCTGCAGCTTTGGGGGTTCTTTTGGAGCACCAGCTCCCAAAGGCCTGAACCACGCAGCTTTCAGGAGGAAAGAGGCTGCTCAGCTCTGGTCAGTGGAGGAGAGCAGCCAAGCAAAGCAGGGAACACAAGGTGCAGAGAATCAATGCTCTTGTTACAGATAACTAAACTCACAGGAGAAGGTAACAGCCTGGAAGGGCTTGTGGATCTGTGATGGGCTGACAGATCTGGAGCACCAGCGGGTGGCCAGCCTCAGTCATCGTATTGCAGCGCTGTGTGGGAGTCGGGCCACAGTGGCCACGGCGTGCTGCGTAACGGGGCCTCAAGCCTCAGGGGGATTCAAGGCATTACCACCCTGCGGCAGGCTGGCTGCAGCATGGATGCCAAGCCCCGTCACCACCCGAGGTGAAGGTGTGTAAGGACACCTGCAAGGAACCAGGAGGGAATTTGCTAAGGAGAAAGGAGGCTTGGGGTCCTCGCTTGCCCTGCTAGGAGCCTGATGCCTGCCCTAGGCACTGAGATCTCTCACTGGGGTGTCTTTTAGCAGTGCCAGGAACATGTTCTGCAAGCCTACAGCTGAGCTCCAGCTTCTCCTGAGGACAGCACATGATGGACTCTCAACCTAGGCAATGCGCGCCCCACTGAGAACAACCCAATGCCACTAAGAGCAGCCAAGGAGTGCATGTGGGCAAGGCGTAAACCCATCAGTCACTACTGCTTCAGGGATGCCCTTCCTGGTGAAAAGGTGAGAGACCTTTTACTCCTGTGGGGTTTCTCCCATCTTGCCCTCCCCGAAGCAGTGGCATGCTGCGTCCAAGCACAACAAGGACAGGGACCGAGGATCCCCATGGTCCAGGGCACAGGGGCAGAGGAGCACTTCATGGGGCCGCTCGGACCCACTTCCTGCACACGCATCCTAAACACAAGCAAGAGTAGCCATGCACAGCCCGGCAACGTAGTGCAGAAATCAATTTTTCAAAACAGCCTTCCTCCTCACCAAGAGGCGGAAGCAAGGCACAGCTGCGGCGGGGGAAAGGAGTCTCTTACTACAACATGCCCAGTCCCATGCTGGCTGCAGCGTTCACAGCACAGCCAGGGAACACAGCCACGGTTCTGGAGGGACTGCTCAGCTCAGCCCAGAGCACTGGTTCCATGCTGTGGATCACCTCCCATACCTGCAGGTAGGAGCTCCCTGCCAAGACAACCACACTGGGCAAGAGCTGCCAGTGTAGGCCCAGCTGCTTCCTTCTCTGCCACCCCTCGCAGGAAAAGTTAACTAGTTTGGAGCTAAGAGCCAAATACGGCTAGTGAGGAGCCCCAGTGGATGGTACTTGAGCCCCTTCAAGGCCTCAGAGCAGTAGTTTGTTGTCCTTCCCCCTCCCTGCGCTAAGCATGGCTGATGGACATGATAAATATTTAAAATAATCTGTACTGAGGGTGCTGGGGGCCAAAACCTTATCTTTAGGAGGTGCTATGCACCCATGGCTACCGCTGATGTTACTTGGAAAGAAAGTGCTCAGCTCTCTTCTAGTCAAGCCTCTGAAGATACCCTGACAACCGTAATTGAACAAGCCATCAGGAAAGATAGGCTTGGCAAAAGGAGAGTTTCTCAGCTCTCCGCTAGGACCATGTCGGCTGCCAGCTCCCCATGGCCCAGTGAGAAAGCCTGAGGTTAGGTAAGGCCAAGACAGAGATACTGTTCAGAGCATTCACATTTCAAATGCCATCATTTCTCCGTCACGTGCATCCCTGTGCCTCGGCTTCCCCATCTGGGGCACGGAGTATGGGCCCACTGCAAGGGAGAGCAGGCTGGGGGAAACTATGTTAAATTAATTGACTCTGAATGGGTTCCTTGGGCGGAAGAGCAGAGTATTATCATAATTGCTGTGTGCCCCTGTGCTTTGGTGATGAGTAGGTCTCCTGAGCTCCTAGCTTATCTGGCAGGGGACACAAAGCAACCAAGGAGCCATGTCATGTTACATTAAGCAGCACAAAGCAACAATGACACAGAGTCCTGTGTGCCAGAGACTGTACCCGGCTGCTCCGGCCACCTTGTGCGTGCTGCTCCAGGAGACGCTTTCCATCTGCGCCCTTTAATGCTGACATACCCACAGGGACTACAGGGTCTTTGAGAGCATCCCGCTCAGCTGTGATCGAAGCCCTGGCAAAGCCACGCTCGAACTAGGGCAGAGCAAGCAATCGGCACTCCTCTTACTGCCTCCCTGCAGCACTCTTCTCATGCACCCGCATGGCTCCTATCAGCCCTCCCAATTTGTACCTCTTTCCTTTATTTTTTTTTCTTGCCTCTTTTTCATCTTTTCCCCAGCTCCCCTCATTTCTTCACCTCCTGCCTGCTATGCCTCTTTCAATAAGGCTGCAAAGGTGGGAGCTGAGTGGCCACCAGTCTGCTTCCTAACCCTGCCATGGTTCCCAGGCTCCCCTAGGTGGGCTGTGCTGGAAGAACATCCCCAGGGGGCTGGACAAGGCCTGCAGACAGTACCAAATCCATAGCTATTGTGTCAGCAGGGCTTTCCGGCACCTTTCTTTCCGCACAGTTGTAGCTCAGAGATTCAGATTTGGCCCAAGGGTGTCCCAATTCCAGCTCCCATCCTGATAGGCATGGGCAGTGCTGCTGAACTCCACGCACAGCCCGTGCAGGGAGAAGCTGGCAGCACCCAGCTAAGCCAAAGCTGTGCTCTCTGTCTGCAGGGAACAAGTTCAGTATCTCATGGGAGACTGCCCCTCCCTCACTCCCCAAGGCCTCCAGCAGCTGCAGGCACTGGCATGAAGACTGCACTGCCCTCAGCCCACCCTTCCCACCATCACCCCTTCCTGCAGCGCCCTGAGCTCCCCCAGCTGGGACCCACCGGCTAACGTGAGGTACACAAAACAGATACAGGCCAGTCACCAAATTGCCCCATCATCCCTCAAACACTCAGTGCTTTCTCAGTGCCCACAAGGAAAGAGGTGCTTGAGATCAGCCAGCTGAGGAAAACAGCATAACCAAAAAGCCAAGACATGCCCATGGCTAGTGGGGGCAGGCGATCGCACCCTCCTCAGCCTGCCCCTTGCCTGCTGATTCCTCCACCACATCTGGTCTGTAAAGCTCTTTGCAACAGGACAGCTTCTTTCCAGCACATGCTCCCTCCCCATAACAATAATCAGGGGCCCAGACAATGGTGTGGGCATCAGTCTGCAAGGGGAAATTCGGCTGAACAGCACAATTCACCCCAACTTTGCTGTGCCTGCTCAGAGCCAACAATAAAAATTCTGTTGCCTGCCATCACAGCGGGCTGCAGATCA